CGACCCACTGCCTTCACCACCCTCTCCCGTGGGAGAATCATTAGGAAAAAATCGTGTTGATGGATTTAATTACAAAAAATAATTATTCGTAAGAAAGTTGCCAGAATACAGTCGGACGGAGCGGGTTCTTCGATTCCCCCCTTAATCGGATTAATTTACTTTTAAAAAGCAGGGGGAAGGTTGTTGTAATTAATGGAATGATAACATTACCTCGCGGTTGACGCCTTTGGTAACACAATAGCCTGAAAGGTAGGAGATTATACAAAATATACGGAAACAACAAAATGATGAACGAATTCATCTATATATTTAATTTGGCATAGCATCAATCACGGTCGCCTTGAAGTTGTAACTGAACATCTCATGTTTACATTTACATTCGATCCAAACTATTTCGGCATACTTGGCGATCTGATGAGTAGTGCTTTTTCCACTCCGTTACCGCCCGGTGATCAGTTAAACGCATCTCCACTGACGCAAATCATATTGCCTGGAAGGGTTTCTGTTCCTCAACGAAAATCCAACGAATTATTTTTTCTCTGTGTAATCTGAGTTTCAGTATAACATTGTCTCTATCCGAACTAGTCAGTGTGAAAAGGACGTCAGACTCATCTATTGCCCGGAGCTCAGTTAAGGGGTATTGAGAAAATAACAAGTCATTGCCACTGATTTTTTCAAGTTTTCTGAATGTCACGACTGTAAACGAGTTAAAAGATTAATTTGTTCTACTCATATTATTTGTTATAGGATCCATGTATATATGTTGACCAACACAGTGAACATTGCTTAAAAAGAATTTTGTTTAAAGAAACATGTCATTATGAGTTTTTTTTATTCTGAGTAAAATTCTGATATTGAAGAATTTGTCTTAAGGAATAAATTTGACATATTTTCGTTATATAATAGGCTATTGACAATGAGTTAGTTGACTCGTAAAACCTGATACCATTTATCACTGCATACATCTCCATCAGAACGAACAACCACCAATTTAAAAGTACAGTAAGAAAAGCAATTTAACCCTAAATTAACCTAATGTACCTTCGACATACGAAGAGGGAATGAACGTTATTTTTCTCGCAAGTGCTGCATCACGTCACGATCATTCTTTACCGCTTTGTCTATCTATTTTCTACATGTGTGTTCTTTTGGGAGGCTGAGTATTTGTGCCGGATATTATATAGCAGTATCTAGGAGTAATTCTTCCCGATATTAAGGCAGGAATCGAATCTTAATACTTTAGTTGTAATAAGAACCATCAAAGTATCAAAAGAAAGTGACAAATATAGAACAAATTAAAAGATCTTTCTTGATATCACAGATTCTATAAAAATGCTTATATGCATACAGGGGAAAAACCTACCTAGTAATAAAATTATTACTTCTGCTACATAATGCAATAAATAATTATTAGTGACTCAACCATTGCGCAGTTATAACACAATTCTTACGTAACATGCACAAATGGAAAACATCGAATTGTTTACAACTTCCATGAAGTTAATATAACAAAACTACTACAATATTTTGTTATATATATTGTAGTGCATTTTAAGATCAATATATAATTAATAAAAAATAAAGACACAGCGGTCTTCAAACTCGCAATATTTAAATTTACAGCCACAACAGCGATTGCGCTTAAGTTTTCACTTCACTATCAATATTTTCCACACCGATTATAAAATAAAAGCACGATGAATAGTTTATGAAGGGCTCTAGCGACGAAAGGCTAATATAGCAGTAAGAGGCATAGCGCATTAGCTTCATACAGTCAATGATCTCATACCAGCAAAGCTCCTGCATAATTTATGGACAGTTTGCTAGATGCGTATTTAATACAACTCAGCAGAATCACTATCACGTTCAAAATATGTATTAACAAGCACGAAAGTAATAAAATTTTCTCTCTATATATTTTTCATAATAAAATAATATTCGATATTTATTTTTTTTCTTATTTTTCCGTTTATATAAACACTGTGACGTAGCCTCTCAGTGATGAGATTTGAAATTATTGTGTCGTAATTGCGACGTATCGAAATGGTAGTAATTGACGCACGCAAAACGTATAAAGGTATAGTCAAACGGTGAATTATTATTCTGCTGGAAATCAGTTAAAAACCTAGTTCAATTCCAAATTAAATCACTCTTATAAATATGTGCTAAAAATATAAGTTATACATTTGTTACCTTTAAGGTTTAAATTGTAAACTTTGCAACATTGTAGGATCTCCTCATTCGTACGACCTAATTATGTCGCTTCAATGGCTATTACGTTCATATTAGTAATTTATGATTGACTAGCTATTTAACAATTATACTTCAATTTGTTTTAAATTAAAAAATAAAGATTAATCAATAAAATATAACAAATGAATGAACAGTGATTGTACTATACGAGTACGTAATAAAAACCATAACTAATTAATGAGTTGGCATTGAGAACGTAATCTATTGCGTACTATTTGAACTATAAACGCTTTCATAGCCATTGATAGCCGTTTAGTTCAATGCTGACAATGTTAAGGTTGCCATCTATAAGAACATTTTATTGTGTGTGTGTTATATTAATTATATAGTGATTGTTTTCAATTGTGCTATTACAGGTAAGATTTTTACACATTTTTTTAAAAACTATTTAGTTGGTGTATGGTTAATATGAATATATTATTTCAATTTAAAATTAAAAGTGCCTGAAACTATTGGAGTCATGTATTTTTTTTAATTCTGGGAATGAATTATAATTGGTAATGAAAAGTTAATATAATTTTGTCAATTGCGTCCATTAGTGATAAAGATTTTTAAGAGTTGTAAGAAAGAATATACTTCCAATAATATATGTGAATTATCGTTAAGTTTCGTATATTTTCTCTTGTCTACATGTAAACACGGAATCAGAAAAATTAAGAATCGACTTAAGAATCAAAATGTAAAAATGAAATACGCGATTTGTGTAGGAAAATGTAATGAAAATTATAATTTACTTATTTGTTTGTACCTTAATTATTTTAATACAATCAAGTAACAAAACCAAAAAACTTTTTAGTATAAAAAAATCTTATCGTTTTACACTTCTACACATTCACGTCTTCAAAGAAAATCATTACATATGCCTTTGATTTTTAAAAATTCTTATAAAATTGAATAATCTCTCAAAAAGCATTTTTCTTCAAGTCTTGTTATTACCGTCATACTATTATATTGCATTACATGCAAATCCATTTGTAACGAAGCTACATATGTGTATAAAATAGAAAACAGTATTTCTAAATAGTTAACCAGAAATAGAATTCATTTCACTGTTATGTAAAATAAACAAATAATTAATTATTAATTCACAAACATATTAATGACAACTTGGCAATTAATTTGGAAATGCCTACTCGGGTATTGTTTTCATTACAGAATGAAATTAAAGACAGTTCAAATAACATAATAATTTGTAAACATATCGAATTACTGATAGCGAAATCAGCAACAAAGGTGCTAGTATACTAAAAATTACAAAATCAATATATTGAATACACTCTTAAGATTGGATCGAAGGAATTTAGCTTCTTTTCGTTTGTTTCAGATCATTTCTTTGGAAATCAGAATTAATTAATTCCTTTTATCGTGAGACTGTTCAGTTTTAATACTAACCAGTATTGCAATTGCGTTGTAGCAAAACACTAACATAATTTATAACATACGAATTATTTTTAAGTTAGGGCAAAGTGTATATACATATTTATCTTTTGTTCCAAAGCGAGACATTTAAATTGAGAAAAAATATCAGTAGATGTATATTTGTTCGTTTTAAAATTTGAAAGTACCGGGAAAATTATTGGCTAATAAACTTTTCTTTGTTTGATAAAAACCTCGCAGGTCGTTAACCTGTCGCCACGTTCTTAGGAATTCATTTTTATACCACAGAGCATTGGTGTTAGAAATACGTGTAAAATTCAATTTATGTTTTGATAATAATACAAACTTTATAGAAATTAAAATCATCTAAACCTTTTACATTAAAACGAAGATTCCAACCTTAGATTGAGAGAAATTTAAACTAAAAATATCATTCAAAGACTCATACCTGTTCAGTATTAAAACTTTACTCCACATTATGTATGTACTAACTTTTTCCCGTGTCTTCGATCATATTTGTAATCTCCTGTTATCACGGATTAATCGGACGAACCAACTTAAGCATAATAAATGCATAAATATATATTTTTTCACAAATCAACCATAATTAAAATCTCCTTTTACTTGTTTTTTTTTATTACGTGGCAAAATAAGTAACGAGTTCTTGACACATATATCAAAAGAATATATAAATGACAGTTATAGAGAAACGCTTAAAAATACGACGATTTTATTATACATTCTATAATTGTCGTGAAGCACTGGCAACATTGAAACGGAAAAAAGCCAAGTAAATTAATAAGGAGTACATTTTTCTCATGCCTTGTAAGATTGTTAAATTCATTTAAATTAATAATAAGATCCGAGATGTAGCCCCGAGGAACACAAAGCGACATTTCACTTTAAAACTTTTAAAGCGTTTTCAAGTCAGATTCTTTACATATTTACTATAAATAAGTATTGATAGCTATTATAAGATATTATACTGTAAGTCGAAAATACTACCATAGTTTTATTTAGCATAATTCTAGAGATTCTTTGTTTTCATACGAAAGAAGTAAACATAGCTTTTAATTGAAATCATTTTAAAGAATGATACTTTTCTTCTTTTACAACCAAATTATGAAATCTTATTTAGCCTAAATATATATTTAGCTCTCATATTATATACGATCTCAGAGCTAATGTACAAAGTTACGTAAAAGTATATCGTTCCTCATTCTCGGATTGTTACCGCTTGGCGATACATAGATTTAACTTCCGAAGCACACGCTCTGAAATATTTATTCCTGAAACGTAAAGATCGGGTGGTGGGGGGTGGGGGGGAGGTTTATCCCGCGGTTTCCTTCCCGGCGTGTTTTACTTCGAGAATGGGAAGTCGCCGCCGACGGGTCGATATCATCAAAGATAAAGGATGCAGAGATTTCATACGAACCACGTTAATAAATACGGTCTAGAAATACACAAAGCTAGTATAGAATTTGATGAAACTTACATATGTTGTTTGTTGTTGATTTTTTATTTGTTTTTCTTATTTGATTTCTACTTGTACTAAATCGAAACAGTTCTCTACTATGACGACATTCCTATTGTAAATTATTTTTATTATTATAAATATATCACAAAGAGTTTGGACGACGAATCTCAATGAGTATTTAAACGTCTGTGAAGGCAGCACTAGTCTATGTAGCGGGGCGACCTCCAGTGGGGGGTTCCCCCTACCGTTCGATTGTCTGCGGAGGCTGCCCCGCCGGTGCCATCTGATGTGCCGAGAGCACTCCAGATCTGCATAGATCGTTGCCTTCGTTTTTTCCCTATCGAAAAATCAATACTCACTTTTATGTATAAATGGAAAGACACCTCTTAATGTTCTTTATGGCCTGTCTTATTGCATTTTATATATAGCTAAAGATTGTTCAAGACGTTTTTATGACTGTATTAATAATTATAAATTGTATGGTAGTTATATATTATGTATTCGTTTGATATGAGTAGTTATTTAGTTTCAGTGAATGCAACGTGTATTCAATGTAAATCTAATGCTCTATAACCTAGTGTATTTCGGAGCGTCGTGGTACATAATGTGAATGTCTCATCCCAGTGCCGTATCGAGGTTTCCGCCGCCGTATTCCTCAATGTGAAAGAAGCTCAAACACCAAGCAATAAAGCCTTTGGATCCGGCAAAACAAATACGAGGCACATTCCAATGCTAGATATCATTCGCTCCGCCCACACAGTCGGCATGACGACTGAGCCTTCTCATTGGTCGCCGCGAAGCCTTCTCCAATTCGAATTGGTTATATTTTTTTCTACAATTGAAATTGGCACTTTCCGTTTGTTCTGTACGAGTTCTGTACGCATGCGTCCCCGGTAGGCGTCTACGTCACGTAGACGTATCTACGTTTGGAGGCTACGAATGTTTTATTGGATATCCCTCTGTTCCCATTCGTAATTCCTATTCGAATCTGGATTTGTGGCCGGTTCATTCCCATTGCGCAGTCGTCCTTTCTTATTTTAGAAATAAATATATATTACGTACAAAATGTATGTGATTAATATGCCTTCGAATGTTATGATTACTATAACAAATTATTAAGTAAATCAACATCAAATTTTACGTTCGCAATACAATAACGAGAGCATATTATCGTATCGATATATTCATATGTTATCTATCAATATTTCTGTATTAAAATAACTCTGCGTTAAAGCTACCTCAGTCAATGGCATACAAGGGATACCTCAAGTAATTAATAGTATTATAAACCCCTAGCGGACAACTGAACATGCACACACGCAAAACGGATACCGTACAAACATACATGTCGCTCTGCTTGACAACTGCAATAACACAGGCATCCATAGCAGGCTCTGTAGCGAACAATTTCATTTGCGACTGGGCGAGGATAGCGTTATAATTACAACAACAATAGATAGAGGCGCCACCGTCTGCCGCACGTTTAATCTCGCCGGAATCAAAGGACCGCCGCCTCACACCCACCCTAAACGAGATTCACCTATCAACTACTACCGACGAACGACACCATCCACTTGATATACATTGCCGTTTTACTACGATCGGGACGTGAATTTGAGCATAAAACTATCGTTGGATGTTACGAAATTAATTTTAATTGTTTTTCAACTAGTCGAGTGGTAAATATTTTGTGTCTCCAAGCCTATATCTGCAGCGGTATGCTTAGGTGTCCTCGGAGCAGATAGTTGCATTTCCACTCTATGTATAACTACTCACAGAGTTTTATTAAAGCTTAACATTGTTTGCCTCTAGCTTGAGCTTTTATAGAGCCGCCAGTTGTTTCCATATTGTTTGTAAATATTACCACGCTGTTAATTGAATTCCTGAATCAGTTATTTATAATATGTATTAAAACGCTGTGTAACAATGTTCTAATAATATTCAACGCTCATAATGTGTCATGAATATTTTTTTTATAAGCACACACACAACAATTTTGCAGAAGGCAAACAGTTTGGCAATGTTTGACACTAAGCATAGTGAATCCTGACTAGAGAATTATAATATTCATTTATACGAACACAGTACTGTTTTAATAAAATAATATATCTGCAATACGGAATAATTGCAAAAATATAAAATATATATCATAATAAGGTGACGTAAAATAAATGAATGTTATACCAAAATCATAATAATAGCAATTTGTGGCAGTAATGGTCCATTGATGGCAGAATCCAGCCGATTGGAGGCTTGCATGTATTGATAGTCAATAATTCGCGTTCCCACCGCACCGTTCTTGCATAGTTTCAGCAAGTTATTGCTTGCTTTGCCATTTAGCGCCATTACTTCGCATCAGCTTTGTAAATAGTTATGTTGTAACTATTATACAGTTATATATAATAATAACTATATTAATATCTATTTTTTCTTTTTTTTCTTTAACAAAAATAAGCCTCATTATCTTGATTGAAAGAGCAGTTAACTACTAATAATTAAAAAGTAACGAATGTTTCATATAAGTCATACTCCAGAAACTAATTTAGCAATGTAAAAGTTATGGCGATCTTACATTCGCTATGTAACTATAGCACTTCCATATAACGCTATGTATTTGAATCTTTCGGACTTAAGACGTAAAATAATTTAGGTTCGCGAAATTTTATTTATTTTTTCTTATAACCATTATGGCTAAGACTTTAAAGATCAAAAGTGGAATTCTGAAAATAGTCTTGTAAAAATTATGTTCTTCAAACAATAAACAAGACATTATAGTTTCAAATTCTATGTCCAAACCTAATATATTTCCAATATTAAACATATAATATACGTATACATATATATTTTAATAATATAATATACAATTCTCAACGTGTCTGTTACGTTCTACGAGCCACGCTACTTATAGAATAGGAAGCGAGTGTAGGTAATGGCGCAAAATAGTGACGCAGTATTATTGCAGTGGGTGGAGGAAACTCCCGCGAAGCCTCCCCCAGCCACTGAAAAGTCCACGAGAAAAATAAGATCCCCCATCCCGCTTATTCTTAGTAACAGTTTTTGTATACTCGACTCTCTATGTGTTGGTGAGATTTTGGTATATAATATATATCATGTTTTGATATATTTACACTTCAATAAATGTTGTACTGTGATTTATTTTTTATGATATTATTTTTATTTTATATTATTTACGTCTGGATATAGTTTTGTTATAAAATAGGTACCTACTATTACAACTTTGTATTTGAAATACTTACCAATATGTTTAAAGACTTAAAAATTTTGTGAATATTGAATTGTTAGATAAAAATTATAATAAACATTTATAGTCAAGGAAGACAAGTTTCATTTAAGACAAGTCTTTGTTCTAGTAATAAAAAAATATGCAAATCTTTACATGAAAAGTTTATAAAATAAACAAATGATTTGTTTTATAATGTGTGAGTACAGCATATAGCTGCGAAATTAATATCTTGTTTATAATTTATATGAACATATATATAATAAAATATTTTAAAAGATCTTTACTCCTCATTACACTAGCTTTTTGCTAGGAAAGTCGAATCAAAATCTGTTCAGTTGTTACAGATATTAGCCGGAACATACAAACAGACAGACAAACAAAATTAAAATACATATTATTTTCGTATTTGTTCTCTTCAATATTACAAACAGACACAAGAATTTAATTTATTTCTATATATACAAGAATTTCTTAAAACATCATCTCTTTATCTTAATTAAATTCTTGACACATTACATCTTTATGGACCGATATTATCTTGACAAAAAAATAAAATACATTTTAATTATAAAGTTTTGAAAAAATCAATTATCAGTTAAACTTGTTTTAACTAATTAGCGATATAAGTTTTCTTATTATTTAAGGGTATAGAAGTTTGTTTTTCTAATTTAATTTTTTCTTCTTAGGGTTAGTTAAACGCCCTCTAGTGTAGTCCCGTCACACTTCAGATACGAGAACCGTAAAATTTGAAAACAGCCAGACGTACGTCCTTACGATATTTCAAGAGTACTATAGATGTCGCTAGTAGCATTAATGACAAAATAATTACGATTTGTCATTAGATGACACTCCATCCATTAAGCATTAAATAAATGTATTAAAATAAATACTGTGCTTATAAAGAAAACTTTTATTTTTTTATTTAAAAGTGTAGTGTTATGTATGTTACATTATGTATCGCTGGCATTATATAAAATCTCTTTATTAGCCACACTAATACGTCACTGTTTTTCATTTTCTAAGACTACCACAACTTGACCTTAAACATAACCTGCCTTAATGTATGAACCATTGGACTTCAATAAAGACACCAATTTTAAGCATTGCACGGCTCCTAAACAATTTATTTGGTCCCTCCATCTCTTTTACACACATTAGTCTTACATAAAACAGATAGGGATGGAGCTTTATTTCAATTTAAAAATGTTTATTAGCTATATCTGTAGGGCAATGCACTCAGTAACAGGTTGTGAGAGGACGAAAGTACAATTTTTGCAATAATTGTAAGATAATAATTCAGACAGTCTGAAAATGTACTGAAATAAATTATTGATTGTTTTTTAGCAGTTAGTCACTAAAGACATGGAAACGAAATACTACATGCATACATTATAAAACTTAACTACATCCTACCAACAGAAAGAAAGAAAATATAGAAAGTAATCTTAATCAAGCGATGACTAAAACAAATGTGCATAATATAACTATTTAATGTAAAGATTAATTCAACGTTCGTTTTATATTTTCAATATGTTAATATTAAAAGCAAACGCATCGTCATTTAAATAGGCGGGTACATCACGATAGAATGTTATTACAACATTAAAATGTTTTTATCAATGTTAGTATTACACAAGCGAGGGCAAGGCGAGCAACTTTCTCTGATATAATAACAAATGGTACCCACAAAGATACAGATGTGAGATGGTCATATAAGCCCGGTTCACTATTATTGACTTTTTCCTAACTTTCACTCCCAGATTTCATCATCGAAATTCTGGTCTTCAAATGGGCCATTAAGTTTGGTAGAATATGTAGATTATTATTTTATGCTTAATAAAATGTTACTAACATAACAACGTTCGTCGGTTTTAAAGTTCTTAGAATACAAAATTTCGTTTCATTTCTAAAAGGATGATTCAGATTATCATATTTGTTTTTGGAAAAGGTATATTATAATAATCATGATAAGTCAAATGTATAAGTAATATTAACCAAATATTGTATAAAATATTTCAACTTAGAACTATAGTCTGCTGTGGTACTAATAATAAATTCCTGTATTATATTTGGCAACACGAATGCGTATAGCATAATAAAATTACCTAAATATGAGCCCTTTCTCCAGATCTTGATCGTTGAACTCGGACGGGGTGACATTGCGGACAAAATATACGACTACCCTCATTCTTGATACTTTTAAAAATATATTGTTTTGTTGTCTCTTTAACATATATCTTGTGAAAGTAAACTGTTTTAGGTAAGTCAACCGTCGCTTTTTAATTGATTGCTCTGATAATCTGTAATTTTTCTGAAATAAGCTGATATTTTCCTGAAAAATATATAATAATCCAAGTATGCATAACCTTAACTTATATACTTAGATATACTTCGTTACCCAAATTATCTCTTTAATATATGTTCATATAAAACTATAAATATAATTCGTATATTCCGCTAAGTATCAAGTTTATGTAGCGCGACTCTTTATAAATCTACATTGCACTTGCATTAAAGCGTATGGATGCACTGTCTTACATTTTTTCACCGGTTCTTAACTTCGTCCTTGAATTTCAAGTTTAGATTACAGCATGCACATTACCAAAAACGCGTTGGCTGCACATTGTTACATACATATATATATGCGTGTCTCGAAAATAATTTAAGTAAAGACCAAATTATAATATCTAAGTATTTAGTTATTTTTAATTAAAGTTAATTTATTAATAACATGGTGAGTATGTGCTGATAATTATGGTGAATAATTAATATATTTGAGTGTTAAATGATGCATGCATCGCTAGTGACGTCATCCTTGTGTAATTGAATCTCGTTTTGTGATCAATATAAATTGCATTAGGCTAGGTCATGATTCCTAAACCAGCTGAGTAGATAACGACACAAATAAGCTAAAAAAGGATGTGAACAGACCCGGGGCAATGCACTTTTTCGTGAACGGTCAAAGAAGATCGAATGTGCTGGTCCAAAAGTTTGTGAGGAGCATAATAATTACAACGACAATCTTCAAAGCAATACATGCTCTATTACATATAATCTTTGGCTGCTTTTGTTATGACGTACATTTTTTCTTACTTCGTTACTTGGCTGTCTTCGAGCATTTGCGGGCATAAGACAAAGCACCTTATACAGAACGCTATTGGTATTAATTTAAAACGTATGATGTTATAAGGCACCAAAATTTACGGCAAAATTCGCACAAAACAAAACGCAGCAACGAATAAAAATGGTATCTAATACAAAGTATATAAGGTGAAAAATGTTATATCTATTGATCATAAAACGTGTTGCATGTCAATGGAATTTAAAAACGAAGTGGGTACATGCGAATCGCTGTACCTAAGGTCATGATATACTAAGTGCATTCACGGAGACAGCTCACAGAAATGCAATTGACAAATCATAATACCAAATTATTATAATTCGATATTAAGTTTACAAAATTGTTACGATATCATACGCCATGTTTCTATATCTACGGTCATGATAATTTAATCGTATAAAAATAATACGTCACGTGGAAATATGTAATGTTAAGTAGCATTTATTAAATATACTTAAAATATTGATTATTTTACATATATACTAGTAAATTTCTGGGTAGGAGATCAAGAAAAGCGTAATTTTCATTCATATAAATAAAATACAAAAAAACTACAAGTTTAAATTATAATCAATATTGTTTATACATCACCAATATTTGAAACCAAAAATACATAGTTAATTTTGAAATGTAATAGCTTGATGGAAATATAAAAAAAAATCGTAGGAAATTATTAATATATAAGCAGAATAATAAATTATCTAAATAATTATAAACTACAAAGTAATAACAAATGTTTAAAAAATATATTTAAACTAATTACAGCTTTGAAACATAAATTTAAGTACTCACGACTATAAAGAGAATACTAAAATCAGCAACGATCATATTATATTGAATGTTAAGTTAATTGAACAAAAAATTTTAACCCCAAATAAAACCCGTCAAACCATAAACGCTCAACCAGAAACATCTTTAAATGAAGGTATCATAAGTACCATGAGTTGTTAGCGTTTGAATTTATTAGCGATTTTAGTTGTTACACTCCGTATGGAAGTTTCAACAATCGTTGTCGTCCCGATGTCGCCAGCTTAAAAATAAGCATAAATAAAAATATTTAAGATCAAGGCCGACGATTTTTTTATACAAAAGAATATTCACGTGTAAGAGGTTCTCGATCTAGAAATGATAAGGATATCTATTTTAGTATAAGTATGAATTACTAGCTACATTGTTACTAACATTACGTACTAATGTGTATAGGAAAATCCGAGCAGATATTGCGATACGAATTCAAAACATCCTCTGAGATAAGAGGATATATGAATGGAAACTTTGAATGTAATAATACAATATAGTATTTCATTATTATTAGTTTCAATTAAATCTACTACGTCTTAAATAACAATGGTGTGTGATTATCTCGCGACAAACGTTTATAGGAGGCCTTTAGAATACTCAAATACAATAATTGTAAAGTTATGACGAATATATGACACACTATTACGTAAAAGATTTATAGTATAAAATCTATATATATAACAAAAAAATATGACAAGAATAATATTTAAAATTCCCGAGATTTAACTGTCAGTGTGTACATTTAGTTTCAGGGCGAATATTTATAAAACATTGACAGTTATTATTTGATTTGTACGCATAATACTTATAAGCATTAATATAGTAGTATAAATATTATTTAAATATCAATTTTATTACTACTAAATTTAGTATTACTCAGATTTTTACTTAAAGTTCAAAATAATTTAAATAATTTAATATATACTCTATTCATAATTTGTAGCTGTGCTACGATGTAGTACATTGAATAGTTAGTACGAAACACATTCTACGTAATTAACATTAAAAGCTAGTTTATAAAGGAGTAAAATTCCACATAAAAAAATACATCGAAGGAAAAAGTTCCAATATAAAACTAGTTACAGACCGGGAACCGTGACTCATTTATCAAGAGAAAGCAACCAGTATGTACTGGTAATAAAGGCGGTATTATAAAAAATGTTTCTTTAATTTTCAGGTTGTGAGACAGTCGTCAACCATACCTGAACTTCCTCGGCCATCTCAGCCGCACTCGACGATGCCGTGCGTCGGTGGCTCATATAAATACATAGGAAGCACGTTTCTGGCTCGATTGCCCGCCGAAACCGCGTCGAACACGGTGATCTAGCGCACGCGCATCTAAAACATACAACCCCATAAGAAAAAAATATTAATTAATAACAAAATGAACAGTGCCGAATTATATCATAAGAGCAACACGCTGCAAAAGAGGGATGCCCGACAATGTTTAGAAGAGTATGCAAAAAAAATTAAATGGAAAAACGACGGTGATGCCGTTATAGATATCGGTTGCGGAGATGGAAGCGTCACCACCAGTATACTGAAAACTTTCTTACCAAATAACTGCAAGGAGCTCGTAGGATGCGACATTAGCGAGAAAATGATACAGTTTGCTAACGAACATCACGCCATGGATAATACCAGCTTCACGCAGCTCGACATAGAAGGTGAACTGCCTGACGAACTTCGTGAAAGATTCCATCACGCATTTTCTTTTTACACTCTACATTGGGTTAGACAACAGGAGTAAGTGCATTAGATAATTCATTATAATAAATAAGACTGTGATATATGTAACGTATATTATAAAAATTACCAACATAAATACGTATTCCTTTTTAAGCAACAGATTAATATTTCACTTAAAATTTAGCCAATATATAATATTTCTGAAATAAAATTGCCAATCAGTTTTTTTTTTTTCAAAAAATTCAATCAATAAAATAAGAGAAATAAAAATCTAACGTGTATTTAAAAATAATAATAACAACGAATAAAAATATGAAACAATAGGAATGACATACATACATTTTAATTATTAATATTTATTTGAGTATTTATAACAATTATAAAAATCTGATTGTACATTGTTCGTACATTATAATTTGACACTATTCTTTTAAAATATAAAGTGTATAATGCAATGCTGATAAAAATTCCTTTATTCGAGCTTCGTCCTTAAATAGAGCTTTAAATTTTGTTATCACTATGTGTTTTTAATTTTTATTTACAGAACAGCATTTTCAAATATCTACGACCTTCTAGTGAGGGGTGGCGACTGTCTTTTGGTATTTCTTGGTCACATGCCGGTATTCGACGTATACAGACTCCTTGCCAGATCAACTCGTTGGAGTTTCTGGCTGAAAGACGTGGACCGATATGTATCGCCATATCACGATTGTCAGGTCAATTTATAACACTGATTAATTATTTTATAATAAAAATATGTTACAATAAATTGATAAAGTCCGTTTAATAATTGGTACTTGAGATCTGTTTCAATTTACAACATAAGTAAATCATATTAGTTAAAATGAAACATATATGTATGTTCCTAAAGTTAAGTAGTTTCAACTTCGGCAAGATTCGCGTAAGAATAATCTAGTAATGAATAAGTAGTGACTTAGAATTTTTATAATGACTTTTATTCCTGCTTTATCTGTATATATTTCAAGTACTTATTACAGAAGTAAACATTATGACATTCGAGCTCGATTGTGATATTGTCGATGTTCAAGTTATCGCAGAAACAAATTATCGTGAATTTTTAATAAAAAACTGAATATTTATGGCATTCTATAAGTTTTAAGTTTTCTGTTCAATGTTTTATAGGATCCTGAGAAAGATATAAAGAGGATGATGACGACCATAGGATTCAAAAACGTGGAAGTCAAATGTGTTCAGAAACTATTCGTGTACACTAGCGTGGAAGCCGTTAAAAGTAAATATTAAACCTAATTTATGCTATTGATTATCTATATGAAATAATTATGAAATATTTAACTGTCTTTATAGTTCCAAAAAGGTGTGAAAATTTTTGAAGACAATACATCTATAATAATAAACAAAACAATTATATAAAAAAATTTTTGACTATAATAATCATAACTATTAAAATATCTTTTTTAGAGGCGGTGAATGCCGTTAATCCGTTTAAAATACCGATAGAAATGCAGGAAGAATTTTTAGAGGATTATGTTAAAATAGTTCGAGATATGCAGCTCGTGGATCACGTAAATAACAACGTAGACGGACCTGTCCACGTGAGAACCAACTATAACCTCATTATAGTATATGGTAAAAAGTAAACAAATAAGTTAAAACTTATTAAAACACATAGTATATAACTTTAAGAGCCGATTTCACCGGAGATTCAAAATGTTGCTACCTAAATATTTTCTATTTATACATATAATATGAGCTACTTTTTGGCAGTTTTCAGCTGGTGAAATGAGTTCTTAATAAAAGTATTTAATAAATTATATTTTAATTTATATGTGTATTAACTGCACAAATAAGGTACCTGATAGTACAACAATTAATATAATTACACTTAATGTAATGCTTATTTATGCTATTATTATTATTTAATAATAAAGCTATGACTTTTTTAATAATTTATATAATAAAAATAAATTAAAATTAGGTTTAATATAAAATTAAAATTGAGTTACGCTTTTAAACAATATCGCCTCCATCTTGAATAGATCTTAAATACTTGGATGTGATGTCACGATGTATTCCGCATAAATTCTGAGACTGACTAACTGATTTTTATCATATTCCGTAACTCTGTAATTATGTTCAACTTTAAAGATTGTTTTTATCTCTATTATTAACCTTAATTTTGCCTGATTAACCACTAAGGCTGGTTGGATATAAGAAGATAGAACCTTGAAGTAGGAATTAGGAATATTATGTTAGTCTAGGCTGAGCTAGCCAAAAGCTATTTTGATATATGTTAAGTTAATGTTAAAAGAATAGTAAATTATTTTATTTATAATTTTTGTTTTTCATTATAACTATCCTCGTATTTATATATGTAGTTTTTGGTATCAATTGAGTCTTTAAAACAAATAACCACAAATCTATAGTATCATATCATAGAAATAATAAATATTCTAAGTTGTATAAATATATTATCATATCATAGAAATTTAAAAGGAGGAAGATAAATAAAAAAAATATTATGTTTATTCGATTATTACTTTAACGGAGAGATTTTATGTACGTCATCATGAATTTACCAGGTAATGTACAGTATGCTTACTCTTTAGGTACATTTAACTGCAGTTAATAATTTCGAATTGTCAGTATCTTAGATCCAAGTATGCATATTTTTCTGCACTTTTCTTTCTTTTCTCCTTTTAAACCCCTCCGACACTCCTTACTTAGTTTCCTTCCAGTTTCTTCTTTCCTTTCCTCCAGTTTCCTTCTAGATTATAAACACTAATATAGTTATTATTAAAACATTCTTGCACTACATATATACATATATATCGTGCATATTATGCACATTGAATCATATCTTTCAACTTGTTGACTTGATCCAATATCAATGGTGTAAGTGGTGATATCACAATAGTGTCGATATCACGGTAGTCTGTTTAACAGTTTCTCTACAACTTAATATTGTGTCTAAAAAATAATTTGGTCTCACTAAAGCAAGTTCTCAAAACAAATAAGACCACAGCCAAAGCCAGACCTTTAACAATAAATTAAGTTGGAAATTAAACAGAACAAATTAACAATAAGATCAAGGCAAAAGTTTTATAAGTGATATTTCTTAAATTCTTAGATACAGATAAAACTGTTCCAGATCATTTGGTAAGTTAAGAAGACTGTTAATAACTACGTGCGAGTTTGACAACTCGAATAAAGACCAAACAATGGCCATGTTGCCTTACTAGTGAAATAAATTTGCATCCGTATGAATAAATTTTTCTATTCAAATAAATTACTAATATTTCTTTCCTTTATCTAAAGTATATATAGACTTGCGTAACGTTAATACGAAAAGCTCTTAACTTTTCTCATGGATTAAGTTTCAAATCTGACTATTAACAGCATTCCAGTCCCATGAATGTTTAGTGTCACGTTTCCTCAACATAAATGATATCTCTTGGAATAGGTACTGTAATGAATAGATTGCGCTATTCTACAGATATGGTATTGGAGGCAATGTCTTATATATGACGTAACACTGTCCATCTGCTTATTCACTGTTCAGGGTAAGGGAATATATGCTGGTATGCTTGGTAATATCCCTATAGTTTCCAAGAAAGATATAGGAATAAGTTATAGAACATTCAAGATGAAAACTATTATGTGATACTGATCTTATAAAACCATTTAGTAATTCATACAGCTAACAAAATGAGATTGCTGTGATTAGAGCAGTCGATTTTTATTATCCGGAGTTGGTACGTGACGAACCCAGCACCCACTGGTGTATTCCGGTGCAATCAGTCACGGGGGGGAGGGCTGGGGGTACAGCCCTGGGAGTCAGACGGTCACGGATCTGGGCAGGAGGCCGCCCGTGGCTGTCTTGGGGGGGAGAGGATACTCGAGTGTCTCCGAAGGCTTCAGTTCGCCTGTGGTCGGTCGGTGGCCGTTCGCGGCCCGTCGTCGGATCGTCGCAGATGCATGCTTCGGCGATTTCAGAGTCCGCACTTTATTTATTTATACGGAAATTTGGTCAAAAATTAAGTACCTATTTTTTTTACATAATTCGAATGAGAATCATGTACCGAGTACTCTCCTCAAATATTGATAGTAATTCACCAGTCACCCTGTAAAAGTACATCACGTCATTGACACTGACCCCGTAGATGAAGAATACGTCCTTGTTTCTTCAGTCAGTCTTCAGTTCTGTCCTGGAAAGCTTTACGGTTAAGCTGGGCACAAGCCCAAAAACATGTGATGAATCGAGGCCTACTAGTGCCTATTCGACTACCAAACTATAACCAATGAATACTCTACCCTGGCCTTTAAAGTGAGACTCAGTTCAACAGTTACTCTAATAAGAGATGTAATTTGCATACTTAGAAAAAATATTAGGCAGCTAATGTTAAGGTCGGATAAACTTAACAATACTTAAAAATTCATTATCACTTTGGTCAACTCAAATCTAGACTCTTAGAGGAGTTATTATTATTATTCTTAGAGGGGTAGCTCTGGAAACAGTATTGACACGAGTCTAATTCTATAAGGAGTTCTTTATTTTTTTATTCTTCATATATATATTCACTGTAGAGAAATAAAAATAAGGCTTAATATCTACACTTTTGGTCTATTCCAAGCAAATAGTGCATTATTATGTTCATAGATCCCCTCCTCCAAAAATGACCACTGCATATAATAGCTTAAAATCTGTCGCGTCTATTCGGATCCTATAGACGCCCAGAATAGACATCGCGCTCAACGATGCCCTAAGATAAAGGTCGGCACTCGGCATCACAGAGTCAAGCTTAAATGGGGCCTCTACGTTTCAAGACAAGAAAGTTCCAATAACGGATGACCCATTCTCCCTAGTGACGTTTTCGAAAAACAATAGGGCCATATTATGTATAGCAATACATATAATGAAGAGAAGGTAACTTATAAAATGGCAATGATCATATAATAAGGGGGTTTCTCACAATCTCTTTACGATGTTTTGGTTCCGTAACTTTAAATCAGCAAATAAACGGACAATGTATAATTCAGTTAAGTAAGTTGTTTAAAAAAAATATTCACGATTTAATTACTACTGATCTGAATTGTATATTGAGTTATCTCCATGGTTTTAACGTCAGTCTAAATGCTGTAGTAGCTAAGATTATATCAACAAAATTATAGAAAAATCCTTGAAACTCGTTGGTTTTATTAAAAGAACATGTCATGACTTTAAAAATATTCAAGCTATTATAACGTTGTATCGTTCCCTAATTCGTAGTGTTTTAGAATATGTATCACCAGTTTGGAGCCCAAGTTACAAAATTTATAAAAGTCGTCTTGAAAAAATTCAACAGGGTGTTACAAGATTTTTAGCATATAAAGACAGGCACTGTCCATATCGGGCAGACTATGTAACACGTTTGAAATATTTCAAGCTAGATACATTGGAGAAACGGCGGTCTCTGAATGACTTAATGTTTTTACATAAGCTCATTCACAACTCAATAGATTCTTCAAAGCTACTTTCTCAAATAAATTTATATGATCCGAAAACCATTCCTAGATATCCAATTAAAAGCACCTTCGCCATTCCTAGATTTCGCACAAATGTCGGAAAATTTTCGCCTTTAATTCGTTGCATGAGGACCTACAATCAAATTGATTCCTATGTCGTCGACATATACAGCCAAAGTAATAATAGTTTTAAAAAAATAATAAATACTGTGTTAGTTAATAATTGATATTTATATGTTTGTTAGCTTATTATGTTTGTTTTAGTTAGTAATTGATATTTTATCTTAGTTTTTTTTGTGTAGTGTAGTGTTTACCTTACCCTTAGTTCTTTTGTTATCATGTAAGCAATAATGTAAATACCTGTAATGGTGTATCTCACCGAACAAGTTTATTTTTATATATTTTTTTTCAACATATAGTTTGTGAATATGCCGATGGTATTTCAGAAATAAATAAATAAATAAAATAAATTAATATCTTTACTAAATTAGCTGGCGTTATTGATGTCCTCGGAAAGTTATAATCATACCCTGTTAAAAATAAATGAAATGCAAATCTTTTATCAATGTTACTATGGACTTATATACCTATTCTCTAGTAATAGTTATTGGATATTTCATTACGGATCAGAATTTGAAATAATTAAAACTTTCATTTTATTAAATTTACATAAATTATTATCCCTACTTTTACTGATTAAATAAACATGTGTAAACTTCACATCCTGAAAAAGAATTATAATCCGTCTAAAATATGGACAACATATTTCATCAAAGTTACGTAGAAAGGAGTTGATAAACTTCATCTATCTATGAAATGTTGTATCTGTCATCTGACGTTTGATTCTAAAACATTCTGCTGTTACCTACAATGTTATACTGTAAGCTAAGCATTTATCTCAAGTTTGTGTTAGTACAAATATTTATAACAGATTGATAATGTAAAATGTGAATATACCCATGATGATGGACCAGTGATAACGTAGAGAGTAACAGAAATGTTGATTTGGTTCAGGAGAAGAATAATAACGTTAAAATGTTAATGATAATTATTATTTTAACGTTCAGCTCGTTATTAATACTCGTTTCACCCACGCATATAAAAGGAGAATTTACGACAGATACATTCTTTAAAT